ATACTTATTATAAATATATATACTTAATTACTTTTTATCTTATTCTCACGTGACTAACTCGCCTATTCTAACACGGCAAACTAAAACGACGCACTCCCACGTGTGCCAAATCTGTGGGCGCTCAGGCTGAAGCAACGGGCATAAATCCATGGATGTGCGATCAGGCTCATCTGGTGACAGCAGGAGACGAATTTGGCGGCCGAGTGCGACGTCGAGGGCTATTCTGCCGTATTTGTCTCTCTCGTCCGGATCGATACCGGCCTGCAGAAGCTGCTTCACGCGTCCTTCTAAACCCCTTGCTACAGCATTAAACAGAACGGAGTCTTGGGTAACCCCCGAATGTCGGTCGGCCCACAAGAGTCTCGTATATTCACGCTTCTCACGAAGCGCATAATAGAGCGGCGATTTGTCTTTACCATCCAACACGTCAACATCAGCGCCACGGTTCCGAAGCAGCATAATGATTTCCTCATCGCAACTGCCATTCTTGATAGCCAAATGTAGAGCGGTGGAACCGTCACCACTCTTCTCCATGTGAACGTCAGCAAGTGAATTCAAAAGAGCCCTGACGATGTCGACATGTCCCCTCGTACCATTCGCGTATTGTACGGCCAGATGCAGTGGTGTATAGTTGTCTGGACTTCCCGTCGCGCGATCATTCCAAGCTCCATACTCGAGAAGGATTCGAACACTGGCAGACCATCCCTTCGCGGCCGCTACATGCAGAGGTCGAGCTTTGCATGTGCCGGGAATTACTACATCGGGATCAGCCCCTTCATCCAGAAAGACTCGAGTTGTATCCTCCTGATTCATGCAGCACGAAATTACAAAAGGGGTCATTCCTCTGTCGTCCTTGGATTCCAATTCTGCCCCAAGCTTCAGCAGCACTTCTGCGGCTTCGGCGTTGCCGTCTATGGTGGTCAGAAACCGCGTACGGGTCAACGGGGACTGAGAGTGAGCTTACAGTATGCAGCAATGTGAAGCGGTGTCAAGCGAAAACATGAAGGTTCACTTTTACCTTGACTCCTCCACTCCAAGTTCGCTTTAGGAGCCAGCATGGCAATGACGGAGGCGCTTCCGAATTCTGCAGCTGCTTCCATGGCTTTGCGAATCGTATCTAACCACTCTGGGGTTTCGCCATTGTCTCGAGGGTACTGGGCTAGCAGCTCATTGACAACACCATCGTAGCCGAGCTCGGACGCGCGTTGAAGCATTGAAGGATGTTCCATCTCTAAAGGTTTAAAGACACGAGCCCCTGCTTGGGCGAGTCTGGAAACCACAGGCCAGTGTCCGTGCTCGACGGCGATGCACAAACATTTGTCTAGCTCGCTCACGTCAGGCATCTGAGCATGGCTCTCCTCCCACAATGACAAGATCAACTCCATCGTAGGATCGTGGCCATGGCTACATGACTCTTTGAATGCATCCAGCCAGGACTCGGACGACTGAGACTTGTGCCGTAGTAAGACTTCGGCAGTCTTGGTATGTGACCCTTGGATTGCGAGAGTAGGCGCATAACCAAGGGAGAAGTCGATTGTATCCTGTGATACCATGTCATGGACAACACTTGTCAGACCAAGGTACGAAGCAAGATACAAGGGCTGGCTGACTAGGTAGTCTACTGACGAGTAATCAAAGTTTGCCGAGAGGTGCAAAGAGAGGTACGTGGAAGCCCACCATTCCATTGTCTCGGAGTCGTTCCAGAATGGCATAAACCAATCTTGCACATCCACCATGGTGTCAATACATTCTTTCAGATGTAGTGGCCAGCAGACCACGGCGTATCGCAGAAATTGCGTTCCTGGGGGGCCTTCGATAGTCTCTTCGTGTCCGCACCGCGCCTCTATTTCAGGTATTTGCATCTCCTTCGTCGCGAGATAGAGAAGACATTTCCTCGGCAAAAATGATGATGGGGCGACTTCACCCGCCGCAGCTGTGGGAAGCAAGTTCCAAGGGAGCGAGTCAGTCTGCCCTCTGACGAATTCTCGCAGTGTGTTGTGAATGTGGATAGTGTTGTTCTCGATGTATACCAGGGGGCCTAGAGCCAGTTTTAGGTTGTCTTGCAGGTCTTTGGGGCTCAATATACTGATTTTCTGAAGCGTGAGGCCTCCCGCGTTCCAACCCGGCGTTGTAGGAATTCCCATGGCGATGGAGAGCTCGCCAACAGTCATTGGTCGATGAGCAAACGCAATGCAGAGCAGGACATCGCGGAGCCATTCAACGGGTGCGTTAGTGCTGGCGAGTATTTTCTCGTAAATAGCATTATACGTGGTACATTCGGACATTTCCATGCCGATTGTGCCATTATCGGTGAGATGTTTAAGCAGCTGAAGCTGCAGGATGGGACGGCCATGATGTTCTTCGCCATCATGCGCAAGCATCTGGGGTAGCAGGGCTTTTCCCGGCTTGATATATCTCTCAATGTTGATTCCAGGGCTGTCAAATAGGCTCTGAATTGAATCCGTTGGCTGGCAAGTTATCAAAACCTTGAAACCTGTATTTTGACCCGCTGCCAGTCTTTTGAAATCGCCAATGAGATGAGACATGGTTGCGTCGCATTCATCAAGGGCATCAATGACACAGAAAACGGACCGTTTCGATACTTTTCGGAGCGCTGCGTCCAAGAAGCGGTATAGATCGGGAGCAGATGGGTAAGAATCCGTCAGCATGTATGTCCAGACATTGCGCACATAGCTGCTTTCAAATATTGCATCGTCTTGGTACAGTATTTGGAGAATAAGATCGAGAAGCAAGTCGCGGTATGTTCTTCGACGATGGTCGGCGAGACTGAAGTAGTACGAGAGTGTTAGAGTATCATCCCGGCATCGTGCCTGCTCGGCCACCTGCTTCGCGAAGCAGGATTTCCCAGTTCCTGGACCACCATAGACAGGCAGTATCCATTGTTTGCCCTGTGGTAACATGTCTGACCACTCCGGCCACTCTATCGTATCGGGTGGGAGCGCCGCCGCAAGGATATGTCCAGGGGCTGAGTCGTTTGGGGAGAGCATCGTGAGAGATTGGCGGTATTGTAGAAAGACATGGTAATAATCTTGTTCCTGGTTAACGCTTTACTGCCCCCCAAAATGTGGCAAGGCTGATCTGACGAACCTGGTCGCGGGATTCTAGTGATTGCGAGGATCTCTTTCACCAGGCTAGATATCAGTCTGTCATCACGATGACTGCAAAGTTGCCGATGCGTTGTCTGCAGGCACGGCACTTCTTTCTGCTTGTCCGTGGGAAAGGGCACCTTCATTGGGCGTCAGGGTCTGTAGCTGTTGCACAAAGGCATCATTGACTTACGACGATGCCAATGAGTTCCGTCGGAACCCCTTCGTAAATGGAAAATGTCTTGTATTGCTTGCCAAGAATCTGGAATCGCAAAGTAGCTGCCTCCAGAGAATTAGGCCCTGTTTGGGTGATTTCAAGGAGCTCACGGTGTAGATGATGCTGGAATCCGGCGTCACGCGGATTGGTGCTTGCGAGCACAATCTTGAATAGAGTATCGACCCAAGGGCTGGACCCATCTGGGGTTCCAAATAAGATCTAATTCAGAAAGTAAATGACCAGTCTTGACAAACCAGCGCACAAAAGGGGACATGCATACCAGGAGTCGAGTGGAGGACGCAATTTCTAGATACATTGGATCGCAGTTGGCGATCCAAAGCATCTGACGCAAGACGATGCAACATGTTAGCGGAACCAGTCTTGATCTCATGATATATGGTATTTTTACGCCCACCTTCTTGACTAGAATGCCTCCCAAGTTATGGCACAAAAATACCAAGGGTGCCTGTGTATAATTAGCACCTTGTCATCGCAGGACTAACAACAGGCGCGCGACTACCGCTTTTCTTCCTTCCCTCAGCTTGCAGATTGCGTCTAAGAGATTCGTAGCCATCCGGTGAAGGGTACTTTCATCGAGGAGATTCTGGATTCGAAAATCAGACACATAGTCGTAGGTCATGATTCGCATTCGCATGCGTGGAATCAAGGCGGGCAAAGTGTCTGTAAGCCAGCATTTAGCAGCTCCGTCCGATAGTTTTTCACACCAGGTATCCTCGTGATGCCCAAACAATCCGTTAATAGCAATCACACTATTATATGTTATTCATAACACTCCCGGAGAATCAAGAGTCACAATTTCCATACTCAACGGGTTCACCATCATTGCCAGCCTGGCCATCTCGGAGGATCGTAAGAGCGCCCGTTGTATTGGAGTTATTTTCAGACATGGTATCAGTTTGTATGAATACTTTCCTGAGGGACTTGAAAATTTGAAAGCTGGAATACCAATACGGTTATGGAAAAGGCTGAATTTTAAAGCGATGAAGGTGCACGTGAATCCTGGAAGTCGAGCGAGCGACGGAAGCAGTTGGCAGTCATGTGCTCCGGCACGCGCATTGATCGCCTTTTGTTCAGTCAAGTGGCATGGCTTCAGTCAGAACAAAGACATGGTCGTCAATTAATACAACATGGTGTGTGCCCCAGCTTCAAACCCTTTGTTTTCCACCACACGTAGACAGAGTATGCCCTGCATCCGGCCACTCCTCACAAAGACGTGGCCGTTTCGTCTCCCACTGGTGCGTGATGCCAATCGTTTCATGTATTAATGTCCAACCATGTACGTACCTACGGAGTTCTTTGTCCATACTTGACCAGATTCGGCCGGCATGAATCTGCCCGGCGTTGATTGCTGATGTTACATGGAAGTCACGTTGTCATAAAGGCGAGGGCCGAACATTGAACCCGACAATGCTTACACAAAGGCTCGAGACCTAGTTTGAGGCCATAGGCCTCAAGACTCGCTTATTTACTATTATTCAATATAAACACGGGCTTTTTACCCTTTAAGGTCTTGAAAAAACAGGGACCTTGAATATTAAAGCGAATTATTACCTGAATACGAAAGTATTTGAAGCCCCTCACACAAGCCCTTGTCACATGACGACAGTTTCGACGAATAGTACCAGTTATAGCCAAGATCCCGCAAGTATGTCGCAACATAGCATCATTGCAGTACATCAATGTCAAGGCATCACCTTTGCCGGAACTTCGAATGACGTCTCGCTAATGAATGCCAGGAGACTAAATAGTATACCTGTTTGAACGCGACATCCCTCGCCGGGCTGATTTGGCTTGCGAAAGCCATCCCATAACCAGGCTGCAACGTCACCTTGCTCCATACCCTTGAAGTTCTGCTGCGTGATGAGAATAAATGCTTCGGAGCAAGGCATTGTGGACTCATAAGGCCGTACTTGATAGCAGGTCTCCATCTCTGGTAGGTATCGAGGCATGATCGGTGAGGTATCCTGATCCAGCACGATGGCTTCGCTGTCTTTTGTTTTGACTGTCACTTGTGAATCCGTTTCAAGATCATTGTCGGAGCAACAGGCTGTTGTCGGTGCTGGCACGTGGTTTTGTATGACTGTTGTGGGCAGCAAACTGTTAGGCTCTGCAACGGCCTGGTCTGAGACAAGCCTTGTTCCCTGAAGAGGTTCGGTTTCCAGCTTGGATGATTGAGCTATGAGAATAGGCGATACAGAGATGGGGCTATTTACTTCTGATCTCGGTTGAGTACTGGAAATGAATGGCTCGGTAGAAGCTAGGATGGGAGTATCCCAAGCTGTGATATTCCGCGTACCAGAGACAGTACTGTATGCCTCAAAATTATCGACAATATCATCCTGGTTTTCTGTTTGTAGCGGAAGCGGGATGCTGGAATCTTGCTCATCTTGATCATGCCTCTGGGAGCAGCGTCGTGTCGACGGAGCTTGCAGAGCCTTCACTTGAGTCCTGAGTGTCAAAATAGTCTGTTCTGCTTCGATGAGCTTTTGTTCCAGCGATGCGATGTAGTCCCTTCGACGAGCTCGATGGCGACGCTGGTTATTGCGGACACGTTCCTGTGTGTGCTGAACTGACACACGTTTAGTCCCGCGTCGTGGCATCGAGGGCAATTCCGGATCCATGCTGGCTTGTGACTGCCGATATGTCACCATGGGAATCAGATCGTCCGACATACTTTAGTTATGTCTGGTCTGAAGGTGATGACATATCGACCTTGTGATTTTGTCCATCGCTCTAGTCCTTCCCCGCCACCGCCATTGATTATAAACACGCCGTGATTGGGCGCCACCTCCCACGGTGTCTGGTGTCTTCGGACCTACCTAGGTAGATACGGCACATCAAATGAGGTCACGGTATGCGGCAAATCAATGAGGGACAGATGTATCCAATACATGAGCGTATTGGATCCCTCCAAATGATGACATATCGATGCGCGCAAAAGAACTATATATGGCCGCGCGCTTTTACTAATTTGTGTCACTCTTATCACAAACCCCAACGCATTTTCCAAACAGCCCTTTCGCCCTTGCCAGACAATATTTTACACTTACAATGCAGACTCAAGAGATCTACGACCAAGTTAACAGACGATATGGCTCAATCGTCAAGAGTAGCACCGGACAGTATGAGCAGAAAGTAGCAAAGGCCTTTGGATATACCGAAGAAGAGCTCTCTACCCTTCCCGAAGGTGCGAATCTAGGGTTAAGCTGCGGCAATCCCATTGCGCTTGCAAGGCTGAGAGAGGTGTGTATGTCCGTGTCCTGCGGACCTGTCGCCTTGCTAACGATGAAAAGGGCGAAACTGTCGTAGACCTTGGGTCTGGCGCTGGTTTTGATGTGTTTGCGGCTGCAAACAAAGTTGGCCCAACAGGCAGGGCCATAGGAGTAGACATGAACAAGGTGCGCAACATTTCACTCTACGAGCAGAGACAAACTCATGTCTAATACCGCGCAACAGAACATGATCGACAAGGCGAACGCAAACAAAGCTCGCGTCCACGCCTCAAACGTCCAGTTCATCGAGAGCGCCATCACTTCCATCGCGCTGCCTGATAAGGTTGCTGACTGCATCATTAGCAACTGCGTTATTAACCTGGTCCCTACAGAGGATAAACAGCTCGCGTTTAGTGAGATGTTCCGATTACTCAAGCCCGGTGGGAGACTTGCCATCAGCGACATACTCGCGCGCAAAGAGTTTACGGACGAAATCAAGAATAACATTGCGCTTTATGTCGGGTGCATTGCCGGCGCTAGCAAAGTCAGCGAGTATGACAAGTTTCTCGGGAACGCAGGCTTTCACGGTAAGTCGAATCGTCTTGTAGAATCAAGATGGAGATTAACCCGCCTTTACCAGATGTTCTCATTGTGGATAGCAAGAACGACTTGAATGTGTACTGTACTACCGCTGAGGTCAAGCCATCGTCGCATCCGGAAACAGACGCCGTGCAAGAGGAACAGACGGTACCCTCGTGCTGTAGTACAGGCGCGAGAGCTATTTGCTGTCGGCCGGAAGACAAGGAGTCCTGTTGTCAAGATAACTCGTCCTCGTGTTCTTGCCAGAAGCAGTCGACGTCAATGGCTACTCAAGTCACGACGCTGGCTGGTCAGTTGGGCATCGCCGACTTCAACGAATGGGCAGGTAAATGCATCATAGCCTTAGCGTGACAGAAATTGGCGACTAACTCGATCCTAGGCTCCTTCCAGGTCTATGCTGTCAAGCCTGCGGCGGATTAAGACAATCAGGGTGGTATGAGAGCTTCAAGGCGACTGGTAGTATACGTAGTCGTGCGTTGTATTACTTTTAGGCCCTCCAGGGAAAGGTTTTATCTGGCCATTGTAGGTAAAACCAAGTAAGGTTGCCGACTCACATGGAGAAAAAATGGTTGATCTATTATTCTGCAAAGCTTTACACTAGTTGTACTGCTGTCGTGACCATTTAATGTTTCTTAAACTTCTCTCTCCACATTTCTCTTAGTAAATAATCAAGGTGCCTTGTCATCTTTCAATGTATTGATTGTGTATTGGTTTTACCATTCGCAAAGTTCCCTCTTGAAGTGGACGTTGATGCATGCCGTCGCCGTATCTATGCCAAGTCCCTAGATGTGTTATGTGTGGATGGGGTTTTCTGTTTTGCTGTTGGCCATAACTCAACACTAATGCAGTCGCAACCGCCGCTAAGCCACTCCTTCAGCCGGTTTCTAGGTCTTAGTATTGCCAGCAGTGGACACAGTAAGAGGAAGTCGACGGATTAGTTAAGTCATTTATCCCAGAGATCTCAATCAAATAGCCAGCTTGCTGAAGCGGAACGGGCAGAGAACGGAGTCACCTATCCCATTTAAGAACCGCAAGGCGCCAGCCTTATCCAGCAAGACAAGGCACTATATGACAACCGCATCCTTCGCGTCCTAGTTACTCTCCAGCGGGACAGTCTATCAGCCAGTTCAAGTCTGTTGTCGAACTCCTTGAAGGCCTTCGCGACGCTATCAAAGTTCATTGTTTAGTTTATATAGATGGCAAAATCCTGCATTAAGATATTTCTAAAAAATAATATTATTCTTACCGACCCGGAAAAGCCAGATGGCTTTAAGGACATGCTTATTGACTTATCGAATACCTGATGATGTGCTGCATAGGGCTCGAATACCTGATGATGTGCTGCAATATGGTACTCCTTGAAGGCCTTCGCGACGCTATCAAAGTTCATTGTTTAGTTTATATAGATGGCAAAATCCTGCATTAAGATATTTCTAAAAAATAATATTATTCTTACCGACCCGGAAAAGCCAGATGGCTTTAAGGACATGCTTATTGACTTAGACTTAGCTAAGGAAGAAGGCAAAGGCCCTAGCGGGGCTCGACATTGGACCGGCACGATGGAGTTTATGGCAATCAAAGTATTGACTTCTTAGAATTTCGCACACTTATTGACATGATATTGAAGCCTTCTTCTACGTTCTGATCTGGCTATGCGCTCGCCTAGGTTGGACATTGGCTGGTGCTTCGAAAAAGCCGGCCACAAAGACGAGACTTTTGCTCTCGTTTCTCGAAAGCCAACGAACTGATCTCCTCTGCAACTGCCACAGGCGCTTATTTGCAACCAAATGAAGAGATTGACAGATCGAAGGACGCTGACTTGGCCGTGTATCCATTTGGCATGACTCGAAAGTCCTATGCAGAGACAAGTCGATGAACTTTATGGTCGTTATTTATATTAGAACGCCTAAGTCCGTTATTCACTAGGAGGCCGACGATGATCTATGCCGAAGATATACACATTCGACTGCCATCTGATTCAAGGCAAGGTGCAAAGTTATTACTAGGCAGCTACTTTATTCAAACAGTAAGGCTAGTTTATCTTTATTGCAGGGGTATAAATTACATGTAGGGTATATTTAGTCGTATTTAAAGAGTCACCCACTGAAAAATGGCAACGGCATCTACGATATCAACCTACGAGAGCCGATCGCGCCGTCTGCAACCCACCCGCAGTAGCATTTGCTGCTGCCATGATAGCAACCGGGATTACCTTGCTGGGAGGGTCCTTGAGATTGACTGCAACGGCATAGGACACTGTTGAAGTATACGCTGCTATGTTGGTCACCTCGCCAATAATAGCCGCCGAGCGCTCCTGGCCTGCTGACTTTTGGCTCAATTCATAAAAGTGCCAGCCAGTTACAAAGAGAGCTGGGATGGTCAAGACGGACTTGACAATTGCGCTGGTGGCTCGCCCGTCATTCACTGCCAGGCCCTTGAACTTGCTGCTCGAGACCTTCAGTTTCTCCTGGACAGGACCACTAAACAGTAGCCCACTTACGATGCCGACTGTTGTTGTGGCCGTGGACACGGCATTGACAGCAGTGTTCTCAACAGGGTGTCGAGGTGCGAGAAACGCGGCGCCCCCTTGCAAGGCGGCCACGATAACCCCCAACACGGTTGAAGGCGTGCCCCATGGATTAGACCCTGTCAAGTAAAGGGCTTCGGCACTGCTAGCAAACGTGGCCACGAACAAGACAAAGCCGGACACGCCATGACCGGCGCCGTGGACGACCTTTTGCAAAGTCGATAATGCTTTGAAAGGGTCCTTGTCCCCGGATCGGTCCGTGTCCATTTCACTGGCTGGCTGGTTTTTGAAAATGGCCTCCAAATCACTCCAAGAGTTGGCCGAGATGATGGCTCGGACATCGCTAGTATCCGGGAACGGTGCGCGGTTGTTTATCATCTTGTACACAACCGTGTAGCCAACCGCCCCAATCCAAGTGAAGAGGTCCATGAAGGAAATGTCTGGAATACCAATCGCATTGAGGATATCGGAGATGATGGGGATGTGTAGTTTCACATCGAGCAAATCGAGCGCAGAGTTGGCGAGACTTGCTAGAACACGGAACAAGGCGTCCACAACCACCTTGACGGATGACACGAGCGCTGAACCCAGGATACCCGCGATTTGTTTGATTATCTCCCCCACGCTGAGGCTCTTGAATTTAGACGCCAACGTCTGAAGGTCTTCATACACTCTCGACAAGACCTCGCCTTGGTCAGAAATTGCGTCCAAGAGCACTTGAATCAGCCCATCTGCCTCGGCATGACTATTCACATCCGGCAAGACGCTCTTCACCTGAATGTTCTTGGCCTGTCTGCTGAAATGATTCGCAAATAAAAGCGACGAAGAATTGTGTCCAGTGAGGGTATCTCGGCCGCTAGAATCGGGTGGTGAGTCGGCCGCAGCGCCCAGCGAGGACCAATCTTTGATTCCAGCCCAGTCTCTGATTTTATCTCCCACCGCGTCCAGGTGGCCCCCAAATTCAACTCTGGCCTGATCGATCCGACCGACCTGGTGCTTGAGATATAACTTTGCAATGTTGTGCAACGCCTTCTTGGTGCGCTTGATGTCCTCCCACCGGAATAGGAACTGGATGAAGCGGACGACGATTTCGACTGCCGTCTTGATCTGCTCGAATACCCACACGACAGCGCCCACAATGGCATCGACGGCGTCGAGCACGGCGTTGTAGACCTTGCCTGCGATCTTGGCGATGAACTTGAACGTCTTGGAGGCCGCGTCCTTTATCACTTCGATGAGCTTTTCGACGCCCTTCTTGACGGCATTCTTGACTGCTCGAAACACGTCGCCGACCGCCGACCAAAAACTCCAGACATTGTCGGGACCTTTTTGGCCGCGGCCCCTGCGCACAACTCGCGGAGCCTCTTGTCTGTAAAAGAGTCTTGATGTCCTTGCCGGCGGGTTGACCTCGCCGTACGCTTCTTTAAAATGGGCAATGCTTTTGGCTGCGCTGTCGACATCCTGCTGCGGAGTGCTGGCGTCGATCAATGGCCGCTGACTATCATCTAGGGCACCCCCTGCTACCACGTTGGCAGAGTACGATGCTTGGCGGATTTTATTGGCGTCGTCGAGATCTCTGACCCTGCCAAAGGCCTTGTCCATTGGGTTGATGACGACAGTCTCACTGTCCTGCGGGATGCACACGCTCAGGATGGCTCCGTATGCATCCTCGGCCGCCTCGACAACGGTAACGAGGCCGGCTGAATCTGTGGCCACTTGGACCTCTTTCTTCCCTAGTACATAGTACTGGCCGTTGATATAGGCCGGGGTGTGGGAGTCGGCCCAGAGAGAGAGCTTGACATCATCCACTGGTTGGTCATTGGCATCGAGGACAGTAATCGTCGTTGTGTACGACATGAAGCTTTTGGCGGGCTCCGGCTGCGGCTTGGGCACCGGATCCAGCTGAATGTGATGGGGTTTCCATGTCTTTGCCGTCGTGTTCGTGGCCTGGGTGAAGCAAGTCAATCGGTCTTCCGTGTATGCAAAGATGGTGTTTCCCCCGTCGACGCGGTTGAGGTATGGCGAGATGTGCGACGCATCGGAAAGAATAGGCATGGGCACGCTCCAGTTGGAGGGATCCATGACCTCGTCTGCATAGCACGAGACGTAATAGACCTCCGAGTCGGCATTTCTCCCCCACAGTGTAACCACGCCTTCAAACTGCATGGCATAGAGGATGTTGGTTCCTTCAAAGATGTCTTCTTCGAGGAGGAGGTCTCCGACGGCATCGTTGGTCTGTCTGTCGGCGGGATAACGGTAGAGGTTTCTCCCAGCAATCACGTACAGGTCTGTAGTTTCAAATAGATTGCTGGAGTTGTCCGTGTTTCGGACCGTGGCAATGGCCGTTGGCGGCACTCCGTTGGGCACTTTGAGCCTGGTGGGAGTCGGGGACGTGTGCTCGCTGTAGAGGTTGACGACAGGTTGGTATATGAGCTGGGCTCCTCCGGCAGCATTTCCTGATGTGTAGATGCCGTCAACCTTTTCTGCTCGCTTGCGCCCAACGACGCTGTGGTAGGTGCCACGCTCGAGGTCGATGGGGAGATCGTGTTTGACCCAGGCTGGTCCTGTCGGCTTGTCCAAGTTAATGTGGTAACGCACAATCTGATGGCCACCGACACCCGTGTCGATGTCGACTGTAAGGTACTGAACATTGTAGTACGTCTCCGAGAACATGATCTTGGCTATTCTGAAGCCTTGGCCGTCCAGGGTCCCATCAAATGGAACCGCAGTCCATCTCGGGTTCTTGATCCAGGACAGGTTGGAGCTGCTGTTTTCGAGCGACACGTAAAGGCAATCAATACCTCCGGAATCTATCCCCATGGCCATGCCGATGGAGCCGTCGATTGGACTCTGTCCAACGCCAAACGTCCGCACCGCCGCCTTGTCTTCAGGCGCAAAGTGCCTTTGCAGGGTCACCCTCGAGAGATCGTGTCTTTTCCATCCTGTGGCCGTCTCCCCGCTGCACTCTTGCAATCCGAAAAAGGTACCCTGAGAATCAATGGCGAAGACCAAGCCGTAGCCGTTCTCATTCTCGGACTGCAGCGCCTCGAAATGACCCGTCGGCGTCAGCACCTCTGCCTGGAGATAGTTCTCCATCAACTCGGATGAATGGGCAATCTTCAGACCCTTGGAGGCTTCCATGATGCTTTTTCCCTTGTTTCCCGCTGGCGCCAGGTAGTGCAGGTCACATATCATGTCTTGGTAGTTGGAGAATCGCGCGTTTGTAAAGGTAAAGACCTTGGATCCTGGGTAGACAAAGCTTTGGAGTTGACGAAACTGCCCGTCATCTATCAATGACGTATCCTCAATCATTTTCGCAAAGTCAACCATCTGCTGGACCCCCGTCTTCATCTTGTACTTGTCCCATTCGTCCGGGTTTAACTTGTGAACAACCTCGGGCGTTCCGGATATTTGCTTCAAGCGTACACTGCCTGCTGCATCCACCCAGAGCTCGTAATTGTCCGTCACGACAACTTTCAATTCGCCTTGTTTGGTATCGTAGCCCCTCACCCCTTTGATCTTGAACGAGATGCTGTGTTCAAGCACTACATACTTTTGCTTGAACGAGAGCGTCAAGGTATATAGCTCTGAGCCCACGAATCCTTCAGCGTGAAAATCGACCGTCTCTCGGACACTGTCCACGTCAAAGCGATACTCGATTTGTAATGCACTCTCATCGGGCCCTGGCTTCACACTGAAATTTTCGGGAATGGCAGGCTCAAACACCACCCATCCAAAGCTTGGTGGCATCGAGCGAGAGAAATACCCGGAAAATTGACAACACCACTCGGGGTTTAATTCAAGCAGTTGGTCTGCAAAGACTTTGGACAGGACGGCTCTGTTCATGCTCAATACGCCATCAATCTGGCTAACCTGGCTCTTGGTCACCCAGTTCCAGTCAAAGTCATATTTCGGTGGCATTTTGTGATTGTTGACTACACAGACATTATCGAGTGTGCTGGCGATGGGATCCTCCTTACTTATCGTGACTTGTCTTTCATATTCTGTCAAGGCAAAAGTAGACGGGTCATTTTCTTGGGCGACAGCAGTGATTCCTAACAATGGCCAGCCGTTCTTTTTGGCTTCGTTGATGTAGAAATCCCTGAAATACTTGCTGAGGGCTTCGTAGGCAGGCCCCCCGCGGTCGATGCCCTTGATCTCTGGCAGCTTTTGCACGATTGTACTGTCCAGGTCGAATAGGAGCTGCTGCAAGCTAAAGGCCGTGCCCGATAGGTTGGCGAGGGCGCGTAATATCGCTTGCTTTTCCTCGGGATGGCTGTTGTAATAGGGCGTGTCGAGATTTTTGGGCAAATCCGCCCTGCGAAGATTGACGGTTGTCTCAAAGATCCATGTTTGGCTCTTGCCGTCGACCTTGTCGCTTTGCTTGTACACATCCCAGGATCCTTCACTCCAACCCCCTGGCGGTGTGTTGACAACAATGGCAAATTGTGAGCACATGAGGCGGAATATGACGTTGGTCGCGTCATTTTCCAGCACGATGACATCGGGCAGACTCAATGGTGGGCCAGGGAGACCAATTTGGAATTGTAACCCGACGGCAAATCTTGCCCCGGTCAGTTTCTGGATCCTTGGATCCGTTGGGGACGTCCCGTGAGGGATCGTGAAGGGATTGACACCATCAGTACGTTGCAGAAGAGCGTCCAAAGTCAAGGCCTCACCGAGCCCGGTGCCTTGAGCATTCATGATTAAGCAGGCATGGGTAGTTGGCTGATCAGTTTTATCGAGGAATTCCTTCAAGCCCGAGTTGAGACTTGCCTGAGTGGTGGCCACGACGAAGTCGTATCCGTCCGTGGCTCGGCTCAGTCGCGATTGTTCAGCACCCGCCATGATGGAAAAGGTTGGGGCTGTGGAATTTAAAAGGGGCAATCTATTGCTAAACGGGTAAAAAGATACGATAGATGAGCAAAGCGTATGTTTCGAAAGGACTTTGGGGCCGGAATAGACTCGAGTACCAGTTCATTATATAGACTGGGCATCGACGATGGGCATTTATGTCCATCTGGCTAATCTGTTCTGGCATCGGTGGTCGCACAGGCCAGAAAAAGTAATTATAACAGTAATACTCAGACTCGTCCAGATCAACCTCTGCACCCGCATAATGCACATGCGTTGATTCAAGACGTCCTTCCCAATCGATCGTTGCCTGCGTCCGTGCAACCAACTCACATTTGTCGTTGTGATTGAGGCTGCCTGATCGACTGAAGCAGCCATAATCTCGTGCTAGCCGACCATTGGCTCCAGTCAGTCGTTTCCTGGACTTGTATGTGTGCAACATATCTGCATGGGAATTGCTACAGTCTCTCGTACAAGGAATCAACAACCAGCGACATGCCTCCATACCGCGTCAGATGCAACACAAGCAGCGGGATTAAAACGCCACATCGAAATTCCTGCAGAAGAGCAAGATTCAAGCCGACAGTATCGGTGGCCTTTATTGGATACACGCCAGTCTCATTACTGGGAGGCCGCGGCCTTCTGCAGCAACCAACGCAGCGGTGAGCACACCGCGTAGTTCGTGCCGTGTGTGACGACGTTTACATAAAGGTCCGATCACGGACATATGGGTAGTACGTTATTCTTCTTCTTCCTCTGCTCAGCGGCATTGGCAGGCCTTAAATCAATGGTTTGCAGGTTAAAGCCTGCATGCTCATATAACTGGACATGAGCGCCGTAGATAGCAAATAGCGCCATGGCCCGTTGAGCTCTCCAAGAAGCCATCGGGACGGAGAGCCACTTGCATTATTACTGCCCCTCTGCATTAGTCTGGAACCAGATCAGCCGGTCACGAGAACGCCAAAGTACGAATCGAGCCGTGTGCATTTTCCACGGTTGGAGCACGATGGACCTCGGTCTGATACAAGTGACCCTCCGGGCTTTTGTCGGTGAGTACTCGTACCACGCCCAGAGCACTGTTGGTGGCTCAGGGTCGTTTGTTTACAGGCTGTCGAAAACTTTGCACTAGCTGCACTGCTGTCGTGGCCATTTCTTTATTCAACTTCTCTCTCCATCTTTCCCCAAGTAAACAATCAAGCCCGATCACCACTCCAACTTGTATAGACAACTTTTGCCTCTTGACGTGCAATTTATAAACCACCAAGAGTAACCTTTGCCAGCCCACATTACAAAATGCTCTCTGATCTTCGCTTTGCCTTTCCATCTCTTACCATTTTTCGTCACCCCCTCCTTTGGGCGTCATTTGTTGTTGAAGATGGCTAGCTGCTGTTACCATTGTGGACTGCTCGGCATGTCCGCCTTGTTCGTCACTATCGCTTTTGACGTTGCTAGACGCCGGGGCCGCGGACGATGGGTGCGAAATATTCTTGCGAAGCGGATGCTCAGTCCCTGTCTCGACCGCGCCGATGTTGGATGCTCGATGGGCTTGGGAAAGGGCAAAATCGCCTGAATCGAAATACTTTCTTCCCTGTCGCAAAAACATAAACAAAAATGTTAGCTTCTGAGAAGCCAGGCAGTGATATTGGGCAATTTTAAAGAATGACGCCCGAAAGGCCTGACCTGTAACTGATGGTGAAGAAGGTTTGCTTTGCTTCGTTCTATGCCGTACAGGCGCTTGATGCCCTGCTGCTTTTGATTGGGGGTGTTTCTTTGGTCTTGGTGGGGGTTTTCCATTTTGTCCGACTTGCTAATACTATAGTTTAAGAGGTGATGGCTATTTTTGTCCGAAAAGTGCGAAGTTGGGCATTCGCGTTTAATATCACAACTAAAGGGGCGGAGGATGTGATGTGTCGTCATATGGAAATCGCCACAACTTCCTTCGTCGTTGAGGCGTCATGCACCCATTCAACATGGACATGATTGCGTATCCAATCACACACATTACATGATAGTTGTGGCAGCCGTATGCAGGAAGCTACAATTGGTCGTTGGGTTTGCCACATTTGGCATTCCAAAGGGTGAATGGTGGTGTCACGGCTTCACGGCCCACAAATAAATAGAAAACCAGGTAGATTGCCATGCCCATGCGTGTACTAGCACTCATGAATGTGTCCTGTCAACGAATCGTCTAGCACTATGAAAAGGTAAAGGGCAGCTGTGTTGTATCCACCAATCTTGTTCCAAGGTGCTTCATGGCGAATAAACGCCCAGGATATTGTTTGTGTTGCGACATGCGCAATGATACATGTCAACTGGTCTTTTATTGTCAGAGGATTCCACCACTTATGTTTTAGACAACTTTTTCAGCAGAAGGCATCGTATTACAATCGCAAACTATTTACACTCGACGCAGAAGTGCCGGTTGAGATGAGCTGCAAAGGGCCAAAATACCCAGGCGCTGTGCTGTGCTGCGTCCATAGACTTCAGTCGTCTGCGAGTCATCAAAGGTACCAACTAGCGTATTTTGTACGGTAAGTTGACTGCTTGACCTTTATTGACCGGACTTTGCCCCGAGATACATTACAATTTCCGTTTCTGGTTGTTCGCCACCTCTCTCGCCCCTTACCGTCGTCCTGTCTACGGTCTCGGCAACGACCTGCACTATAGTTACCCAGGTAGTCATTTTCCGGTGTGGCGCAGCCCGGATGAACCATCCATCTATTCCTTGGTTCATTATATATTCCCGTCGCCGTATCCAAGATAAGCCCTTGGATGTGTCATGTGTGGATGCGGTTTTCTGTTTATTATTAGCCATAACTTAATAATAATAATATAGTAGGTAGCTTAATATTAGTATTAATACTTTATATAATAAAGGTTTTATATCTTATTTAATTTTATACTACTAGTAGTAATATAATTTTATTAAGTTTTTATTTAGCTTTAGTCTTCCTATCTGGTAGTAGAGCACTAGACCTGTAGATATGATGGACTTCTATACCTTGGGACTACCGTAGAAAGGCCCTTCGACTTGAAAACTGTTTGCGTATCCGTGGTTGCCACCTTAGATATGCTGACGTTTCTTTGTGTGGGTTTGCATTTGGCTCCTCGTTACAGGCTACATACTTCGAGCTAACATACGTATTCGCGACAAGTTTTGTTATAATTCTAGGGTCGTTCTGGCCTTCGAGTTATTTCATCCGATATTTCATCTTTTCACGGATGTTCGGGTCTTGATGTATTCCACTCTTGTCAGACCTTGTCTTCCTTGTCCACTCAGGTAGATCCACTTAAGTAGAGTGACTACGAAACCTCATGTCTTTGCAAAGTTGAGATAACAGTAAGCATCTTGGATGGATCCCTTACTGGTAGCGCGTTAGGAGCTATTCATGTCGGAATAGGCATCGCCAGCAGATAACAGTTGTTAAGAACCGTGAGAGATTATCGGCTCCAAGACGGCTTAAATTGCGTCGTCCCAGAGGACGCAATGCAGATGTTGGAAGAAATATGTAATATTTCAGCTGCTACGGCAATAACGCCTAAGCGCTTGCAATTTTTGCCCTGTGGCATAGTTAGAATTATTTCCAAAAGTAGAAACCCAATTCCAACGCTGCGATCAGATTGCCGGCTTATTTACGGCACCAAGTAAAAATTTGCTTCTTAATTCCAGTCTCGAAGTTGTCAACGTATCACTCAATCTGGTAAACCCGTGTAAACATAGAAATAAGAACTACCATGTGTAGTAATACCTCATATTTACCTGCCTGCCTGTCCACCCAACATGTGAACGAAGGAGAGTACCTCGGCGAAAGCAAAGCCCATTTTGGGTGTCCTTTGGTTGCGATATCCACGATGAACGATGACGGCCGAGCAAGGTCAAATTATGAGTAGTGCGGGCGAACTTGCATTAGTTGCTAATGAACTCCGAGAAGGATCCTGCTCAAGAATCTGTCGTCCACAGCGAGAACATATGCAATGTGACGGCAGTGCAACAGTGGGATATTTCATCTGGGTTGCCAAAGCTGTGGCAGCAAGTCTGGCGAACCAGCTCCCGTAGACACGTACGATACCCACTTCATCGGCCATTAAATTCTCTCGACACAGGAGCAGTTCTTCCCATGTGGTTATAACCTTGAGTCGATCACTATAGCGGTCAACTAGAAGCCGGCAGAGACTTCCATCCTCTCTGCAGTGAGGTACACAAGAGCAGCCGAGAAAGGGGACCAAGTCCTGGCTTTGAAGTGCTCGTATGATGTCTAAGTCAGCGATCCATCTGGTCCCGTCGTACAAGGATATCAGAGCCTCGTGCATCACTACATCCGCGTCGACAGCACCCGGGGCACTCGCCAATGGGAATTTGTAGTCAGTAAACTTGAGGTGTAGGGATGTTTGAGTGAAGGAATTTCCGGGCTTTCCGTCAAAAATAGCTGCTTGGACAAACCTTCCGCGGGTTGGGTCGATTTGCAGTACTCGCGGCGTTGGCGGCGGGATGAGCAGGACTGTACCCGGATAGCCTAAGTTGCCATGAATGCGCCGGATGCCTTTAAAAGCCCGTTCACCGGAATTATCTTGTAGAATGGGGTCCTGGAGGAGGACTTCTGACGCAAAGATGGAGTTCCCAGTCGCCATTGCCATGACTAACTCAACTTGGTCAGGGTGTATGTCGCACCCGCCGGATTCAAGCATTGCCAGACAGGAAAATTTGGTGGCTCTCCAGGACGTTTTTTTCCCTATCTCAGTTAGGTCGCAAATTTTAGAAACCCAGTGCGCATGTCCTATAGGCTTCTTGGTGATGCTAATGCAAATTGTAGCCCCAGCCAGATTACTGTATAAGTCTAATATAGACTAGAACAGAACATTAATTAAAATAGATCTAGTTTCTTTTCTTAAAAGAGTTTTATAGCTATAATTACTTTAATTTAAGTATTTTTTAAATTATAATAAATTATTTTAAGTAATTTTTAAGTTAATTTAAATAATTTTTAAAGTTTTTTTAAGTTTTTTTTTATTAATAATATTATTATATTTTTTTAAACTTAAAAATAATTATATAAATTATATATAACTTTTATATACTCTTCTAAAAA